CCCCCCCCCGCTTGGGGGTCGGGGGGAGGGAATCAACATCACCGCGACGCGGCTCCTCAGCAGCCTGCAAGGTCAGCGCCGGCCCCGTTTTACAGATGAGTAAACCGAGGCACGGAGAGGCGAGGTCGCCGCGGAGTTTCTTGGCTGCCGCCCGGTGGTCAAGGCCCCCCGGCGCCCTCCCGCGGCTGCAGGCTGGCCTGGCGGTCAAGCTCCGGCTCGGGAGCCAGCTAGGGCGGGGCAGGCAGGCCGGCTGGGTGGGCTTCGCCCTTTGCCCTGCCACGAGCTTGGGTCTGTTCCTCCTCCTCCGCTCTCCCAGCGGCCGACGGGATCTGGTCGCGGCTGCCTCGGGTGCTGAGAGGGGTGGGCGGCTCCTGCCAGGGCCCGGCTGGAGGCAGAGTGGCCCTCCCCGCCGAGGAGGCCACCTGGAGGGACTCCGTGGACCGGGCACGTCCAACCCCCGGACGCCTGGGCATCGCGGCCCAGGACAGTGGTGGTGTGACTCCTCGAAATCTTGGCATATCGTGCGCCTTTTCGCGTCCTGCTGGCCCCATGGTAGTTCAGTTTTTGAAGTTCACGATCGCGCCTTATTCGTGACATCACTCTTTGGCAGCCCGCCACGTTTGTGAGCAGCTGTTCTCAAGGATCAAGCACAAAGAGCAAAATCCGAACAAGCATTTGTGACGAGCACCTTGAGAACGCAGTAAAGAACTGCGGCCGCTTCCCTTGAGCCAGACATTGATAGATTCATTTCACAAAAACAAGACCCAATTTCCCACTAGTTTCATGTTGTGCTCACTTTTCTAAGCTGTATAATAAAAAAATAATAAAAAGAAGTCTTAGGTATATACACGAACTATGTTATATAATTTATGTGCAGCCCATGACTATTCCTCTTTACTCAGTGCAACCCAGGGAAGCTAAGAGGTTGGAAACCCCTGCTCAAGACCCCTCCAACATGGCCCCTGCCCTGAACCCGCCTCCCCAGGCCACGCATCTGCCTTCTCAGGTCTTGCTGGTCATTCTCTCTGTCCCCTGTACCCCACCCAGACACACCCTTGTTCTATCGGTCCAGCTGGTGCCCCGTGGACTGTGTCACACTCACTGTCTTTCCTCTGGCTTCCCAGAAGGAGACAGGCAGGCAGGAGGAGAGAAGTGGGCATTTCTTCCCCTCCTCTTGGCATCAGGCACTGGGGCTCCAGCCGGACACCTCTTCCGTTGCTTCCACCCACAGGCTCAGGCCACACTGTTCCCTCTAGGCCACCTCGGGGCCACCCTCAGCCCTGACCTCACCAGGTCACTCTAAGGCCTTTCCCGTCGTCACCCATGCCCTCCTTCTTAGAACCCTCTTCCTGTGGCCTCCCCAGCTCTTTCCCTGGCTTCCCTACTCTCTCCCTGACCTTCCTCACTCTCTCCTCCCCATGTTGGGGTGCATCAAGCTCTGCCCTCACGCCCCACATTTCTTCCTTGGTGAGCACCTCCACACCCAGGCTCAGTGCCCAACCCTTCATGCCCTCCCAGCCTGGCTTTCCCCGGTGGTTCTCAACCTTGCCACAACTGCCCCTTGACAACAGCTGGTGTCTACCACCCCTTATTTCCTTGAAATGCAACAGGACATACATATGCATACCATTTCCAAAAGAAAATCACCTCAGTGCCCTAACTGAAATATCAGAGGGAGGCACCATATGACAGTGGTGACGTGCACAGGTGCTCATTCAAAATCTGGCTTCTTCAGTTCCTAGCTGTGTTACCTTGGGTAAGTATAAAAGGGATAATAATAGCACCATGCTTCACAGAATTGGTTTGAGAGTTAAGTGAGGGTTTTTTTTGTTTTGGTTTGGTTTTTGTTGTTGTTGTTTTTAGATGGAGTGTAGTGGCACACTCATGGCCATCCCAGCGTCAACCTGCTGGGCTCCAGTGATCCTTCCACCTCAGCCTTCCAAGTAGCCAGAACTACAGGCACATGCTACCATGCCCAGCTATTTTTAAAAAATTTATTGTAGAGATGCGGTCTCACCAAGTTGCCCAGGCTGGTGTTGAACCTGCGGGCTCAGGCAATTCATGTGCCTCGGCCTCTCAAAGTGCTGGGATTACAGGCTGAGCCACAGAGTCCGGCCCCTAAGTGAGTATTAATAAAACATTTAGAACAGTATCTGGCAGTGTTAAGGGTTAAATGAGTATTGGATAGATTAATAAATAAGGACAGTAATTTACGATGATATCTATTTCCAGTTGTAAGCACTCCTGTTGACTACACTAGCCGGCATGATAAAATAATGAGAAGTTTGCGCCTCTGCACAGAATCCTCTGAATGTGACAGCCACAAATGCAGCCAATGTGGAGGGCGTCCTGCTGGCAGCTGGAGCCCCATGAGCAGCTCTGCCATTAGGTATGTAGTTTTCCCGACTGGTGGCAGTTCTGGGTAAGACTTCAGACAAGATAAGGTGAAACCTTCCTTCAACTCACATAGACATGTATTTCTGGCAAATTCAATGTGTGCTAAAAACCATACCAAAATGCTTTCTGCTTATAAGTAAGCCTAGATGGTCACAAGCATCCCAGGGCACCCAGCATCCCAGGCCCCATCCACTAATTCCCAGGGCTGGCCCCCCGGTCATTGTGATAACTGACAGCACCCTGCCAATTCCCAAAACAGCACCCAGGGGACTCCTCCTGGGTTCTACACCAACCACCAGAGGGATTTTCAAACCCCCAAATCGTGTCTCTTGCCTGTTGACTCCAGTGCCCAGAGGCCAAGTCTCAATTCTTGGGTCTGATGCCCAAGGCCCTTCACTATCCAGTCCCTGCTGGCCTCCCCACAAATACAGATGAATATTGTCAGTCCTCCCAGTTCCCTGGTGCTCTTCACCACTCAGTGCTGGCATCACCTCCTCAGAGAAGCCTTCCCTGATCCTCCTCCCACTCGCAGGCTTCTTCTGGGCTCTCTCAGACCCTTGGGCTCCCCTCAAAGACTCAGCACTGATCATGCTCTGTTCTAGTACCACTGTAGACGTCTGTGCCCACCCAGGGCAGGGCATGTGGTCGACAATTCACACACAAATGGGAATCACTCAGCACAAACCCTGGGGAGCCCATGTCTAGTGGAAGAGATAGACCCATGGACAATGCAGGATGTTGCTGGCCAGAGCCGCACGGGAGTCCTCAGGACAGAGGAGCCAGCTGCGGGGGGTGGGGAGCAGTTTAGCTGAGGAGGTAGGACCTTGGAGTCGGAATATGAGTTTTCCAGGTGGAGAAGAGGCAGAAGGCATCCCTGGCTGGAAACCCAGCACAGTGTGGGCCAGGTGTGCGAGGACATCGCGCTTTCAGGAACTGCAGACAGGACAGTTTTTCAGGATATGAAAGGACAGCAATTAGAAATGAACTGGCGTGTCAGCTGAAGACAGATGATGCCGTGGGCACTGGGGAGCCATGAAAGAGATGGCAGCAGGGAAACGACTTAGTCAGTCTGCACAGGGCAGAGTTCCCTCTGGAAAGATGCCCCATAGGAGTGCAGGAGTAGGAATAATCCAGGGAAAGGCATGGTCTAAACAGAACAAGGACTGATGGTGAGCAGGGTGGCCCTTCGGGTAGCCTAGCAGGAGGGGGAGACCATGGATGGCTGCTGCGTGTCAGTGGTGCTCTGAACTTTCTGGAGCTGCGCCATTTCACTGTGGGGCGAGGTCCAGCGGGCCACTCCCGGCCCAGAACTCTTTCCAGGTCAGGAGCAGCAGACCTTGGTGTCCACTGGGGCTGGGAAAAGGGAGAAGCCCTGGAGTACCCCGGGATATCAGCTTGATGACCCCCAATGGTGAAGGTGGAGACAGGGACTGGCAAGATGGCTTGGGGAGGGTAGCCAGGGCAAACCCAGTCCTCCCCTGCTAAAGGCCAGGCTGCAGGTCCCTTCTGGAACACTAGAGGGTGCTCTAGGATAGGCCGAGGCTCCCCTGTCCTGCCATCACCAGCTCCCACCCTTCCCGGGTGGACAGGACCCACCACACCATTCAGATGTAGGCCCCGGGGGTCCTGCCAGAGCCTGGCCTAAGTCCCGTGTCCAATGGCTTCACTGTCTTGGGGTCACCTCATCCTCCAGCCACCAGATCTGCAGGTGGAGGGGGCCTTCTTGAGGTGGAGGCAGGTGGGGGGAGAAGGTAGGGACTGGCAACAGGTACTGACAGACTGTCTCCTTCTAACCCTGATCCCCGCTCCCCAACCCCACAGGAGAATGTCATATTAAGGTCACATCACCGTCAGAGGCAAAGCCAGCTTCAGCCAGAACTGCTGCTCCCAGCGGGAATGAACCGGGACACCCTAAGTTAAAGGGGACAGAATCTCAAACAGGAAAGGCCAAAGCAGCCCCTCCCATCCCCTTCCTGACTCTTCCTACAAAAACTCAGATGGGGGAAGTTTCCCATGAGTCACCCCCCAACACAACCAGGGACACCCCCCACCCAGGTATGTTCTGGGCTGGGCGTCATGGTGGCCTAGGGGGACCAAGAGCATGGATGGCTGCCACGTGTCAGTGGCACTCTGAACTTTCTGGAGCTGCACCATTTCACTGTGAGGCGAGGTCCAGGGGGCCAGGGGCTTCCAGGGTTACTCGGGGAATTGGGGCAGAGTTAAGGCTCAAACTAAGATCTTCCACTCCCAGCCCAGAACTCTTTCCAGCAACTATTTATTTGAAGGAGTTTGGGGTCAAAGCTAATGTCTCAGGTCAGGACTCCGTCTGGGGCTGAAGTCAGAGCTTAGTCTGAGTCCAGGACCAGGGCTCAGTCTCTGCCCAGGGTCAGGGTTCAGGCTGTTATTCTGCCAGAGCAAGGTGAGGCTGGCTTGGAGCTGGAGCCAGTCTCCTAATGGAGATACTGTCTGAACACAGGGCTCAGGTCTTCCAACCCCAGGAGCCAAAGATGGACAGCACATCATTCATTCTTTCATGCATCCATGCATGCATTCATTCATTCACTCGCCAAGTGCTTATTAAATATCTGCTATGTGCCAGGCAATATGGCAGGTGCTGGGATTACAAGGGAGAGCCAGATTCTCCATCCTTGTGGAGCTCACAGTCCAGTAGGGAGGTGAAGTTAAAACAGGGAATTCCTGTGGGGCGAGGGAAGCATCCTGAAAGGGAAGGAGGAAGAGGAGTCGCCAAAGGAAATGAGACGGGAGACAGGAGGGGTGGGGAGAGGAGTGGCATTCCAGGCAGGGGGAGCAGCCCTGGGCGAAGGCCTGGAGGCACAAGAGGATGGCAAGGCCAAGGGACACAATAGACGGCGGTGTGGCCTCGGTGCAGAGAGCAGGGAGCCGGCCCAGAGCGACTGGAGAGAAGGAGGTGCCACTAGGGGATCCAGACACCCCCTGGAGGGTAGGGGCTCCTGGGAAGAACCCCTGCAGGGTGATGTCGTGTCCAAGAGGCTTGGCATTTGCACAGGGTCGCTCCAGCTGTGGGGTGGCAATCTTTGGAAGAGTGGCTGGCATCTCAACTTGAGTCTAAATGGCACAATCTTTTGATGTTTTATGAAAACAAAAAATGAAAAACAAATGGCAACATTGAAACAGGAAACCCTTTTCCTATTAAGCCTGATGGAAAGAGCAAGCCCAAGCCTGAAAATAAAACTAACAGGATGTTAGAACCTGCAGCAACACTCACCCACGATACCAACAGGGCTCCCAGAAAGCCGCCGCCTCGGGTGATCTGAGCACCCCAGATGTGAGGTCCACTTGGGCAACTTAGCTGTCATTGCCCAGATAGGGAGACTGAGGCTAGGACATAGGCAGAGTCTAGCCAAGGTCATTTGGTAAAGGTGGAACACAGAGATTCCTGATTCTCATGCTTGGGCCTCTCTCTCTCTATGCATGTCCATACACACACATACAAGCACACACACACCACCCAACACACCACACACACATCACACATCACAACACACATATCACACAATACAACCCTCACAAGTCACATACACACCATACACACACCACACACCATATACCCCATATATATCATACACACATATACCGCCCTGTATCATATATCACACACAGGAAACACTCCCCAAACTCAGATTTGTATACATACAAGATTCCACGCAGACTGGCTTACACAGACACACACTTGCCGGAGAGAAGTGTCACATGTGCTCTCACACACATATATCTGATCCTTCCAAGTCCAAAAACTCAAATATATACAGACACCCACACAGAACACCCTACACGCAAAGGCAGACATGTACAGATATATACAACATACCCACAGGATTCAAAAATATCCTCAGTACACATCTATAAACACACTAGTCCTATACTGACAGACACACAGAGCCCTAGACAAGCACAGACACCCAAACACACACACACACACATACACACACACACACACACACACACACACACAAGGCCCCTGTGTGAGGCCCACAGGCAGGCAGTCCAGGTATAGCAGCCATGTCCCTGTGCTCACACACCCGGGCCATGCTGGCATCGAGGTCGATGTGGAGTGTACTGGAGACCCTGCCCGGCCTCTGCCAAGGCCTGGGAATGTGAGCTGGCAAAGTGCTGCTTCTTGTTGGCAGACAAGGATGTCTGCCCCATCGGAAGAGCCAAAATTGATTCACAGCATGTGCCCAGGCAGGCCCAAGCTCGGCCACCATAGACCTCACCCCCACAGGAGTATGTGAGTGAATGTGTTTTCTTGGGGGGTGGAGGGTGGGGAGCAATGGAAAAATGAAAGGAGAGAGTTCATCTGTTATATTACTTTAGCCTTCCTTCCTTCCTCTCTTCTTCTCCCGCTCCTTTCCTTCTTTCCTCTGCTGTTTAATAAGGACCTTTTGCGAACCAGGCAAAACCAAGACATAGCCTCTGCGCTCCAGAAATGCAGTCTTGGGCATGAGCCAACACACCAGGGTTGAGTTGTTGTAGGACACGTTGTGATCACTGCCAGGAGGTCTTAGAGACCTGGTTTCCATCCAGGGCTGTGAGAGGCAGAGCAATTCACAACCTTCCCTGAGCCTCAGTTTCCTCATCTGAGAAGGGATCACGATCTCCCTGAGCAACTGTTGGATTTACCATGATGGATGTGGCAATGCTTTGTGGGGAAAGGGAACGTTTTAGTAGAATAAGAGTCATTTATTAGGCACCAGCTGTGTGCACAGGCCTTGGAGTCAGTGAGGCCTGCCTGGGCTTAATCCCTGCCTTGCCAGGATCAGCTCTCTGAGCCTGAGCAGGTTACTTAACCTCTCTGAACTCCTATTTTCTCATCTGTATGTAAATATAATATTAATAAAGTTTTACATGAGTGCTGGGAGATAATGCATGTTAACTCTTAGAATGGGACCTGCCACAAAGTACGTGCTTAATTCAGTTATTCCCTAGTATCATTTACAAGCTTTCATTTATTCCTTCAACAAACACTTGCTAAGCACTTACTATGAGCCAGGCACAATTCTAAGTGCTCTCCAAATTCCGACTCATATTTAATCCTTTTAACAACTCTTATTATCCCCATTTTACAACGGAGGAAACTGAGGCACAGAGCAATCCAGTCACTTACTCAAGGTCACACAGCTGGTAGGAGGTAAGGCTGGAATTGGAACCCAGGTCTATGAGCCTCTCTAAATCTATCTTCCAGATATGCACTTCCCTTTTATAGTTCAAAGTCCTCCTCCCCTCTCCCCAGCAGCAGCCCCTGTTAAATAAATCATCCAGTAAGGGTTTCTAATTCCCAGACTTGGTTGCAAATGAATTATTCACAACGTAAGGCCTGCAAACCGCCGGCTGGACCTCATTACCTCAGAAGGGCCGCCCGCCCGCAAGATGCCGCTCCCTCCCCTGGGCATGAGTCCTGGCAGGCCGGCCAGAGGCAGCCAGAGTTGGCAGGCCATGCTCCAGGGCCCTGCTCCGGGAGCTGGGAGGAGGGGCTTTCCTCCCCTCATTCCCAGCCTTTGCTTTCTAATAAGCTCACAGTCTGGTGCTGCTGAGAGAGCATAAGCTCTACCAGAGGTCCTCAAACTTTTAAAACAGGGGGCCAGTTCACTGTCCCTCAGACCGTTGGAGGGGCGGACTATAGTTTAAAAAAAAAACGATGAACAAATTCCTTTTTTTTTTTTTAAACAATAGTCCGCCCCTCCATGGTCTGAGGGACAGTGAACTGGCCCCCCGATTTAAAAGTTTGAGGACCCCTGTGACTCAGTGAGTCCTGTGTTCCAGTCCAGGCTCTGCCCTGAGCAGCTGTGTGACCTCAGGCAAGTGGCTGACCCTCTCTGAGCCTCTAGCTGGACCACACAGTGGGGCGTGGGGCCCCACTTCACACTTTCTCCTCTTCTTCCTCCATTTGCAGGCTGAGGCTAGTGCTGCCCGGCCAGGCTCTGTCCTGGATGCTGGGGACAAAGATCGTGTCCCAGGAGGCCATCCTGTGTCTGACTGAAACCCTGGCATGAGCTGGCCCTGGAGCTGGTTGTAGGGGATACTGTGTGCTCCAGAGCCTGTCTTCGGGGCCAAGCTGCTGGGACCACTAACGCCTTGCTGAGTTATGCCTCATGGTAGGGGAGGCCCATGGCCGGGACGGACATGGAACTGCAGAGGCCCAGTTCCCTTCTTGGCTGGACCTCTGGGGATCTAGCGGCTCCAGGGATCCGCGCAGGGGCCTCAGGTGTGACTCACTGTAGGTTGGTCTCCCCTGCCCCATTAGCCGTCTACTCCCTTCCAGGTAGACTTTACGAGGGCATGCCCCAGTAAACCCACACATAATCCTCTAGCTCAGAGTCTGTTTCCAGGAACCCAGTCTAAGATACTTGTCACAGACAGAGCCTAATCCTGGCATTAAGTGAGACCCAGCCCAGGTCACCAACAGATTCCTAATTCCCAGGCAGATGGAGCCTCAATACTGCTTACAGACTAAAACCCAGTTCAAGAACAAACAGATCCTAGTCCCAGACCAAGCCCTGGTCCCGATCCCAGACTGAGCCCAGGCATCCCATGGAAGGCAGAGGGCCATTTGAGGCAGACAAAAGAGGTGATGAATGGGAGGTAGAAGGATGCTGGGGTCTGGCTTAGACTGAGAACAGAACCAGACTAACAACCCGGTCAGCCAGAAAGTCACAGAGAGGTCTTTTCCAAACACATCTACATGGTCCCTCTTTATGGAAGAACCAAAATCTGAACCAAGAATGACAAGAAACATCCCAATCGCTACCATTTCTCAAGCATGGAGCGTGTCCTGGGCACAAGTCACGGGGTCTACTTTATGGCCCTGCTGCTTCCTCAGAACTAACCTTGTGGGGTTCTGTTATCACCCATTTTACAGATAAAGAAACTGGGGCTCAGAGGAGTGAGTGACTTGCCCTCTGGACCACTCTGTATTTCTGTAGCATCTGGGCTCAAGAAGAGGTCTGTCTCCCTAAGAGAGATCTGTAAGGGGCTTTCAGACTTTAGTGTCTCTTGAACTGGCTGCTTGCCAAGTTCCTGAGCCTGCCCAGGACAGCAGGGAAGTCAGGTGAAGGGAGACAAGTGGTCTTCAGGTCTGTGTGGCTGTGACCCTGCTCCAGCCTCAGATAGGCCATTCCTCCTCCAGTCTCCTCTCGATTCCTATCATCTAATCCTCATGCTTTTCTCCTTGAGGTTGGCACTATTACTGTAGACATGAGGAAACTGAGCCCCCCAAAAGGGATGCCACTTGTCTGGGCCTACAGAGCAGAGGTTACCCACAGAATTCCTGTCCTTGGTGTCTCACCCCCGTTCTTGTACAAGGAGGACCCTCAAAACCCAGAATTTATTTATTAAAAATTGTGTATTTATTCTTACATGTTTAAACTTCAGTGTCATCTTCAAAGTACTCTCCCTTTGATGCAATACACCTATTGAGCGGCTTTTTCCACAACTCAAAACAGTTTTTAAACTTATCAATTTTGATGCTTTTAGTGCTTCTGCTGTTTTTTTATTTCACCTCTTCCACAGTGGCAAAACATTTCCCTTTAAGGACTTTTTTTAATCCAAGGAAACAAACCAAAATAAAAGTTGCTCTGGGCAAGATTGGGTGAATAGGAAGGGTGGGACATGGGGGTCATGCCATATTTGATCAAAAACTGTTGAGCACTCAGCACAGTGTGTTTGGGTGCGCTTGTCAATTGTCCATCTTGAAATGGGCAAACGCATCGAAAGAATCTCCAAAAAAATTCACTGAAGCCAAATGCAGCCTCTCTCAACACTAGCCAATGGGTTCCTAGAACACTTACCTAGCAGGGAAGCCTGTACTACAAGACTGCCCTCAAAAAAAAATTCTGGTTTTTTGGGGGGTCCCCCTCATATGTGGAAGAATGAAGGCTGCGCCCCCATGTGCTCCACACAGTTGATTCTTCATGCAGCGGCCCCTCCACCCAGTCAGCAGCTGTCAGCATCCTCCATGTGCCAGGCCCGGGCTGGGTGTTGGGGACTGAGTGGAACCAGAGGCAGAGCCTGCCCTTGCAGCACTCGGGCTGCCAGAA